AAAAAAGTTAATCCCTTGATTCGGCCAGACCTATTATTATATTATTGACTTATTGAAAAAGACTTGAGTGCCCTTCTTTAAGTAAGAGGCACTCGAACTAACATAACAGTACACATCAGCATTCTCAACAAGTACAAAGACTGAAATACCCCTTCACTAACACCACTAACAAAATGTAATGGAAATTGGAGTCAAAAGGAGATTATACTATTAAATCGGCTTAATTTCTCTTGGCTTATGAAAATGGAGAGGACTCATAAAAAAATCATCATAAGGAAAATATGGAAGCTTAGGTGATGTTTGGTTTTGATGATGATTTCTTGAAAATCACTGTCATGTCGGAGTCATGTCAGCATTAGAGGACTTGGCACTGAATTTTTTGTTTGGTTAGACGATCTTGGTGATTTTTAGGAAATCACTAAAAAATTGATTCTTAAAATCAGCCATTTTCAGGGATTACCTTTTTTGATGATTTCCTGATATCTTGCTTATTCCTATTTTTTAGGATGATATGGCATCGAACATGGCATTGAATTAACTATAACACAAAAATAATTAGCCCTTGAGAATCAGTACTAAACAGACTAAAAGCCAATTTCTCGAAAATAAGCTTACATGGCATAAATGATACCAAACAACAAATTTTGATGATTTTTCAAAAATCAGTGATTCCAGGATAATCGGCAAGGAGGAATCATCATTGATGCCAAACATCACCTTAAATGCCTTCCTAAAATCTTAATGTTCTTAGATCTTAAAGGGTAGAATCCTAAGCAAATAGATTGAGAAGGATGAGAATGAAGTAGGGGTGAGCATTCAGTTAATCCGTTTAAAAACCGAACTGAATGAATTGAAGTAACTGAAACCAAAATTTCATTATAATGTATTATATCATATATTATATTACATATTACATATTTTGTAACAAAATTCGATTAACTGAATTTTTAATTCTAAAAACTGAAACTGAAATTGAATTAACCAAACCAAATCCAAAATTTTAAACCGAATAATGAATAATGCTCGCCCCTACCATGAAGAGGAGGATGACAGATACCACATCTATGTTAAATGCTCGATTGCAAAGCAAGTGTGGCTTGCTTTAGAATTTAGATTAGATGACTCCTAGGTCAAATGAAGGTGAAGGTTTGTTGGAGTAAGAAAGTTTGAAACTTCAAACTCCCAAATATAGGCATGATATTGCCGCGTATATGGAAAAATAGAAATAACAGGATCTTTCAAAACTCCGGGTGTCCAGCACCAAAACAAATTTCTATTGCCTATAAAAAAAAAAAAGAATCAAATCCTAGTGGATTAAATCAAGTAATATCTGAATTCAACCTAAAAAAAAATGCAGTTTTCATATATATATTTTTTTTAATAAAGTAGTATGGGTTCAGTATCATTACCGTCTCTTTAATGTGTTTCCTCCATGTAAGTATCATGTAGGCATTTTGTGCTGTTTACTTTTTTTCTTCTTATTCTAAGACATGATTGTTTATTGAGAAAATAGCATGATACCAAACAAACTTCAGAATGCCAATTGAGTGATAGCTCGGTTGGCACATAATCTGGGTAGTCTCAGGTGAGATGCGATTTCGAGCCTCACTCTCGATTTTCATCACCTTTGAGAAGAGTTATTAATGTTACTAGAAAAAGTATTGTACTATGTAAAGGAAAAATTGAAATACAACCTCTATGGGACAAAGGTGAATGATTCAATACCAAAAAAAAAAAAACAAAATGAGAGAAAATTGCAAGTTGTAATTCATTCAGACCTTTTGACCCATTGAGAATTTTCAACCAACTCAAAATTTTCACTAAGTAGAGTTGCTTGCTGTACTCTGCCCTATATTGAAGAAGAGTATACCTGTTCACGGGCCGGGCTTTTAGTCCAACTTTACATTATTGCAGGTATGGGCTTCAGGTTGGGGCCATTTAAATTTTGACAAAAGCCAAGCCCAAAACCGGCCCATGAACAGGCCACTGAAGAGTATAAGACTTATAAAGATAGAATTACAGAGTATAGTTGCTTGCAACCCCGAGTGGAGAACCGGTGGTGGTGCCTGAATCCTGATGGTTGGTGGTAGCTGGTTGCAACAACCCTCCAAATAAATCCATAGAAGCACTGTTGTAACGGCATCAGCGCAGACAAGTGGTCGGAGTCGGAGACATCTGGTTTGGCCGATTCAGGGCAACACCAGCACAGACTAATGATTTTTAGGTTTGAATGGCTGAGTGAGAGAGCCAGAGAAAGAGGGGCACACGGTGTGTGTTGTTAACAGTTTCGCCTCTTATTGGGTTACAACAGCAACCCTCTACCATTTATGAATTCTTTCACAGGGGCTGCAAATGGATCGGATCAATTTTGGTAAAGGGTATATCTGTTCCAATTTGATAAAAAATTTTAGGGATCTGATTATGATAAAAATCCATTGGATTCCCAAGGTTATGATTCAAATGTCTCATCATATATCTGATTGGATTTGGATTATAATAAATAAAACTTGATGATATAATATAATAATTATATAAATAATATAGAATTTATATATAATATATAATATTTCATAGCTAAGGATGGGGATATATTTAAATTCGATCCGTTAATTATTTTTTCGATTCAATCCCATTTGTTAGATCAAACACGGATCTGAATCCGGTTATTAACGGATCGAATTTCGAATCGAATCGGATTCGATACATTTCAATCCTCTAGCAACTTCATCTAACAGGGTTGGAACGTGTTTTGTTGTCTAGTGATCCGGACTCCTTTCCATCCGTCCCATCTATCGAGCGCCATTTCCCTCCTCCTTTGCAAAGACGCCGGAGTCAGACTAAGCAGCGAAACTGTTCACAACAGAGACAGAGAGATGGTAGCGGAGAAGAACAGCGACAGTGACGAGGATGACACCTTCTTCTACCGCTACGCTTACGCTCCCCCCTCGTCTTCTTCCGCCTCAGCCGCATCCCTTTCCTCTACCACTACAAAGAAATCAGTCGGAAGCGGAGGTCTTGTCCCATCAAAATCAACTGTATACGTGAGCAATCTTGACTACAACCTCACCAATTCCGACATATTTACCATATTCTCGACCTTCGGCAAGGTTGTCAAAGTCACCGTCCTCAAGGACCGCGTTTCCCGACGCAGTCGTGGAGTTGCTTTCGTCCTCTTCGTTTCCAAAGATGATGCCCTCCGTGCTGTCCGTGAGATGCAAGGCAAGGTCTTGAACAAGAGGACCCTCACCGTCTCGATTGCCGCGGACAACGGCCGAGCCGCCGAGTTCATACGGAGGAGGGTTTACAAGGATAAGAGCAGGTGCTACGAGTGCGGGGAGGAAGGTCATTTGTCTTATGAGTGCCCAAGGAACCAACTTGGGCCGAGGGAGAGGCCCGCGCCGAAGCGGTTACGGAGGGCGCAGGATGGGAGTGGATCAGGGAGAGGGGGTATGGGGCATGACGATGGTGATGACGAATCAGATGGTGGGGAGAGATTTGAGGATGACAATTGGGCGTCTGTGGTTGACACAAGAGGGGCTGGCGATAGGTTGATCAAAGAAAATGAAAGGATCGCTGAGAAGAAGATGATGAAGAAGGAGAAGAAAACAAGCTATTTTAGCGATGAAAGTGATGAGGATGATTAATTTGGATTTCGGCTTTCATTAACTTTCAAGGTATCAAGTCTTTACTTCATATTTTCTTTCAGTTTGTCACGTATTGGTTTGTGTAATTCGTGCTTGCTGATTTAATATTATTTGAACTCACCTTTTGGTTGAAATATGGGTCAGTAGATTATTTTGCTGTTCCGACTTTGCTTCTTTGTGCTTCGTTACCAAAAGAAAAAAAAAAAATCAGTTAAGTAGAGCTAAGAGAAATGCTGGTTGGTGTTTAGACTTTAGAACACTACATGAAGGGTATAAATACAATTTTGTATTCCTTTATAAACTGGTTGCTTCTTGTACTTGTCATAGAGGCAATTGCATGAAAATGGTGGAGAAATTGTTTACTGAAGATTTTTTTAGTTGAATGATACAATTGTAGACTCCATTCTCTAGTTATACGTTCCTTGGAGAATCCATCTTCCTACATTCAAGTGGCAGATGCATGTCAAAGTGAAAGGAAAAAGAAAAGTGAATAAAATAAAAGAAAAGCTGGGCTTATTTTGAAATAACAAGATATGGGAACCCTAGACTGTTTAATGATTTTAATCTACTTTTCAATAGGAGGCAACCGAAAAGAGTCTGTCTCAAAGTCTAAAACTCCATGGATGAAATTACTTAAATTGTTTGGAATGTTTGGGATCTTATATTTATCTATTTATTTTTTTGTGTTTCTTTTGTTGTTGATGTCATTTGGCTAGCGATTCCTCATCACCCAATTTATGTAATCTTTTTCTATTTTAATGGATTTCTCTTTTTTATCACCAAAAAATTACCTTAACCATAGTTGCAGGTTCTTCTATGTTATGTCCTTTGCTCACTATTCAGATGTAATTAACAAGATCAGGGAATTGCAAGGGCAGGACTCTAGGAAGTGGAAGTGGTCCAATTCAGGTTTGTTCTCAGTCAGGTCCTTTTATTATGGATGATTAGAGTAGGACAAATCTTTCCCCCATAAGGCCATCTGGGGAACAGCAGCGCCATCATAGGTCAATTTTTTGATGGGTGGTGACATGGGAAAGGTGTTTAATTAAGGATCTGCTGATTAGAAAGGGGGTCAACCCACTAGACTTTGAGTTTCCTTTGTGTAAAGGGGAGATGGAGTCTTTGACCCACCTTCCTATTTTGCAACTTCTCTTACAGAGTGTGGCATCATTTCAGTAAAGCAGTCCTTGTGTATGTTGCTTTCCTTCTTTGGTAAAGGCTTTGTTTGCTACCTGGCAAGCTCGGATGTCCAAGTGAGGCAAGGCATTCTAGGCAGTGGTGTCCCTGGCATTTTTGTGGGCAATCTGGAATGAAAGGAATAGTAGAATTTTTGAACAAAAGTGCAGCCTGGAGGAGGTGGTTATCAACTATGCAGTGGACATGATAAAAAATTGGTTTTCTACTGTTACATTAGTGGAATTGAACTATCATACCCTTTTCTAAATATAGTTTTTTTTTTTTTTTTGGGGGGGGGGAGTCCTTAAAGGTTGGGTAAATGTACAGAAAATCTTTGTACAAGGGACCATACATGTATATCTTTGTTTCAGTTAATACAATATACTTTACCTTCTTTAAAAAAAGGTCAGAGAGTTAGCAATATAGAGTTAGTTTAGGGTCTTGAGGTTGGAAAGTAATATTATTTTAGGTCATGTTACTAGAACTTTGGGTCCAGATGGTCCTCTTTTTGTTCTTGGAACAATGGTACGTTCAAAAAGAAACATTTTTGGCTGCAAGATAGGCGTTAAAGAAGATATGTGCTTCTTGTATAAATCACCTTTCAACACTGCTTTCTACTTGACTTCCAAATCATAAAGGAGCAGAAAGACCATTCGATTTGTTAGTAAAAGGTTTACATTATCTACTATGGGTCTTACAGGTGTCATAAACCGAAACAGGGAAGAAAAATGTCTGTGGGGACTACTTGACATTTTAGGTTCAGATTGCATTCTTTCTGTTCTTACAACAATAACATGCTCAAAATGAAACATTTTTGGCTGTAAGATAGGCATTAGAAAAGATATTTACTTCTTAATATAGATCACCTTTCAATACTGCTTTCTAGTTGACCTCCAAATCATAAAGGAGCAGAAAGACCATTTGGTTGGTGAGTAAAAGGTCTACGCATTTAGGATGGGGTTTACTGGTATCACAAACCAAAAGGGGGGAAGAGAAATGTCTGTTGGAACTACTCGACATTTTATTGAAGGGAAGTAATGACTAATGTGATTGATAATAAAAGTACCTTAACTCTCTTGGATATCCTTGATGAGATCTTTCTGGACCCCACACAGATAGATAGTAGAATTTGGACCCCTTCACCCTCCAGTTCCTTCACTTGTGCCTCCTTTCTTAAGGCCCTTACTCAACCAGTTAACCTTTCTGGCTTGTCATTCCTTGTTAAAGAATTCTGGTGTCAGCCTATCCCTCCAAAGGTTGGGAGTTTTTGTTGGGAAGCTTTTTTGGAAAGACTAAACACAAGTGATTTGCTTCAAAGAAAGAAACCCAATAGGTGTTTATTTCCTCATTGGTGTGTTATCTGTTAGGTTGATGGTGAGTCTGGTTACCATTTATTAATTTCCTGCCATTTTGCAAAAAAGTATTTGGGAATGGTTTACTTATTTGTTTGGGTACAGTTGGAATCTCCCTGTGAATGTGCAAAGCTTATCTGCTTCTTCTTCCTTCAGCTGGTCAACGAAAAGAGGAAGGATTATGTGGAGATGTGTTAGGGCGGCTGTGTGCTGGTCTCTTTGGAAGGAAAGAAACTCAAGAATATTTTCTGACAAGGAGAGAAGCTTAGAAAGTGTGATGGAAGTGATCCACGTAAGGGCAATACATTGGCTGAAATCATTGGAGGTGTTTGTAGACTTTTCAGTAGATGATCTGCTAGGAAGCTGGAAGGAAATTGCGAAGTCAGTCCCAACTATATGACTTCAAGTCTCTTATGGAATCCTCCTCCTCATGGCTTCATCAAGCTGAATTTCGATGGTAGCAGTTCGGGAAATCTAGAGCCTTCTGGCATTGGGGGAGTTCTAAGGAATGAACAAGGGAATACGATGGCCATGTTTTCTGGTCCAATTGGAGTGGGAGACTCCCTTAGGGCTGAGGTAATTGCAGCCATGGAAGGGGTAAAAAGAGCTAGGGACCTGAATATCAATAAGCTGGTCGTAGGAGATTCTGGGATAGTAGTGGGATGGTTAAAGGAAGACAAGATTGGGTTCTGGAACTACAACAATGAGAAGAGAAAGTTTATGTGGTTGATTAAGGACATTGATGAAGTGCCAATTCCCTCACCGATGGATTAGCTAGGCAAGGAGTGCATAGGGATTCTATTTTCTAGGTTCTTTTGTAACTGTTTTTTTTTTTCTTTCCTTTGAATGTTTATTCTGATCCCTCGGGGAGCTAAGATATTTTTATCTCCCCTCCTTTGTATTTTAACCTCTTATATTAATGGAATACTTCCTGTTATTGATAAAAAAAAAAGATAGTAAAACCGGGATACTTTATTTTGGGCTTCTGTGTAATTTCTTTTGTACTTGTAACTCTGTAACTGACTTTAAAGGAAAGGTCGCATCTCGTGCCTTTCTATGGGTTGCATGTAACTCTTATTTTCTGGTTTAATAAAATTTTACTCATTTATCAAAAAAAAAAGATAGTAAAAGTATTACTTAAGGATGATGGTTGATGGACAAGATAGGCATCAAAAAAAAAAAAGAATCAATCAAAAAGCTGTGCAGGCTTCCTACAGTTATAAGGACTAGTTATACATTCCATCATAGTTGGTTCCATTCCTCTGGCAATTCTATGGGCTGTGTGGTCAGAAAGGAACAATAGGATTTTTGAGAAAAAATCTGCTACTGAAGCTGAGGTTATTAACTAGGCAGTAGAGGTTTTGAGAAGTTGGATATCTATACATACTGTTTTTAGAGATAGTATTTCTGATTATATTTTTCGACGATGGCCTTCTTTTGAGGTCCTTCATTTTGTAAAGCTTCTCATTGTACACAGGACCTTTTATTAATACAATCATACTTCACCTTTTTTCAAAAAAAAAAAAAAAGATTCATGTAGCTTACACCAAAGGGTTGGAATTGAGGTTTTATTGACTTCACTTGAGGGCCCCATATGGACTGGCTGACCAAAATAACAATTTGCTGAATAGAGTGATTACCCCAGCAAGTCCATTGACTCCATTCCCCAATTAAGGAACCTTCCTCGCCTTGCTAGTTCATCTTCTAATGAGATGGCTGATCTCAGAACCCTGCTGAACAGGTCGCTAATCTGGACTTAGAGTTGCATAAGGGCCACCATCAATGATGGTCCCACCTCTCCAAAGTCTTGGGTGGGGTGGACTGGATACAGATCTAATCCTTGAAAGCTTTTTGCACAAAGTGGAAGTTCTCAGACTTTCTTGTCAGATTGCACAAGGACCATAATCAATGATGGTCCCAGCTCTACAAGGTCTTGGGAGGAGTTAACTGTATACAGACCTAAACTTTTGGCTTTTTTTTTGCACAAAGTGGCAGCTCTCAGACTTGCTTGTCAGCCCAAGGCACATGGGACCGACCAATCAATAACCTCCATCTGGAGATCTGTCATACTAAGGTAACCCGGCGATAATCATCTCCAGTGCAGCATTCCTTCCTGACTTCCTGAGACAGGGTCTTTGGATTGTACTTTGTACTATGAAATTATTTATTCATTGTATGTTGGAAAGAGAATGTGCCGTTACAGTTTAGTTTTTAGTGTTGTAGTTGCGGATAACTTGCTTTGCAATGACTAGTGCATATCACTGTCTTGCAACCTGTTGTCTTTGTTTCTCAATTCTCAATATGAAGTAGCCTACTCTTGTTTAAGTAGAACTCTCTCTCTCTGTCTCTCTCTCTCTCTCTGTGAGATCCTGGTACATTGTTCTCGTGCAGTCTGTCAGTGAAGATTGAATTGATTGTTGCTTTTAATTGCAATCGTTTTTTTTTCTTTTTCTTTTTTGATGAAGGCTCAGTTTGGAAAGAGTACAAATACAAATATGTACATTGCAAAACCTTTATTTGTGTTGTACATATTTTTATGTCTTTCCAAACTAAGCCAAAGTCATCAATTATCAATCACATCATGGTAGTTTTTAATATTTTAAACTTCTCTTTATTGATATTAATTTCTTCAAGATCCATGACATAAACTCTGGTTAGACTGCTAGAAACAATGCCTTGTTTGCTATTGCATAGAGAGGATATATGTGATGCCTTTTGTACACTGTTTTAGGTTTTTTTTTTTTTTTTTTTTTTTTTAGGGATGGATAAATGGTAGTTTATGATTGATATTTTGTTTAGAAATAATCTGACTTCTTATTACATTTTTCTGAGATTTGTTTATCTTGGACAGGAATAATGTTAGAAGGAGAGGATTGATGTAAAGGTACTGGGACCATCTCCAGAATTGAAGCCGAGTTCAACCTTGAGAGAGGCTGAGAGGGGGTGGGGGTGGGTGATAATGAGAATTACTGTCACTATCATCTGAGCCTTGTTCCAACTATATGGGGTCGGCTGCATGAATCTTGCTTTGCCAGTCGCCAAAATGTATACGAGACAGGGAAGAAGATACGCTGCTTTCTTTTTGCCAATTCAAGTATTCAACCATGTAATCTCAATCCCCAAAGGCCAAAGGTTCCTGCTTCAAAAAGAATCTAATGTGTTATTGTATAGCTTGTTTTGGTCATTTGGTGCCATATTTGAGATATTGCTGTTCTTTTTCATACAGTTTCAATTGTTTGCGCTTCATTTGAGTCATTTATGAGATGCTCCCAATGTACAGCCGCAAGGACTGTGTGGTGGGTGTGAGGACCGAATCTGGATTTGCTTATCACAGAGCGTGCCTCACACCAACCTAACATGATATCGCAGCTGTGCATTGAGAACATCTTCAATGCTCCTTGCAGGAAATGTTTTCAATACACGACTGAAAGCGCTGTATGGTTGGTGTGAGGCACGCTCTGTAAGGAACAAATCCGATTTCATGAGGACCAATTCTGTGAGGAGGAAATCTGAACGTCCTTAAAGCCTTCAACCACTAACTATTTATTGAACCCATCAAGCTTGAGGCCTGATTGTCAAATACAGGAGACATAAAATTTGTTAAGAAGCACCACTAACTCCAATTGGAAATTGGATCTGCTCCCAACAAGCCACTATAACTGCATGGGAACAGCTTTTGTGTACTGTTGGGAGGCCTATTGGAAATGTTTGCGGGTAATAGTCATAGATCCGTCCCCTCTAACACCATATAGGCATATAGTATCATAAAAGCACTAGATGTTGGTTTTATTACCAGTAGCATTTACCTGAATTTCATAGACTGATTTTCCCCAAATAGGGCCTAAAAGATTTTAAAGTTTACTAACAATTTTTAGAGCCCTGATCTAATCGTTGCTTGTGTCTTTCATTTCTTTAATTATTACACTTCAATTAAATATTAACTATATACAAGGTTCAAAATATCGACACGTATCAGCCTGTATTGACCGATACGTATCATTCCGGGACCCTTCTAATAAACCCCTATAGTGGATGTATTGGGGGTCTGACCGGTTCAAGGGGTGGAGGAATCCTAAACCGGCACCCCTGAACTGGTTGCAAAAAAATATAAAAAAAAACAAGTACAAAATGCTGTATCAATTCGCCCGATACGCCCCTACCAGTGTATCGGGTGTATCGATATTTTGAACCTTGACTATATATAAAATATGGTATTTGGATTCAACTTTAATGATCTATATAGAATCCAAGATAAACATTCACTATTCCTTAGGTGGTGGGACTATACAGTGAGCCTAGATCATTTGCTGAAACCCTTTCCGGTGTAGAGAATATTGGCATGTTGGCTTGTGGTTGATTGTATAGCCCATGATACACAGCGGTGCAAGCAATAGATCCCTAGTGTTGTGTTATACAAGTGTTTGGACCTACTACCCACACCTACCACACCACACATGACACATTGGTAAATGGTAATGGACAATTGGGGTAGGTTACCGGCCACAGATTTTATTATACAAATTAAGCCAATTGGCACCTTCATTACTTGTCTTTCTTTCTTTCTTTTTAAATTATCTTTCTCGTATATGGTAATCACCTTCTCACTTTATGACTATTAATTATTCTCCTAAACTTTGAACTACAAAGTCTCCAGCGGTGGATCATGGATGCGAATTGAACTTTTCTCAAGTTATTCAAGATGAACTCATGAAAAGCTGATTTGGTTTAATCCAAATTGAGTTATGAACCGAGCTCAAGCTTGATAAAGCTCCATTCATGAGGTTCACATATCTAATCGAACCTATATTATATTATATATAAACAATTTTATTTATATATATATAATAATAAACATTTTTATAAAAAGTTTGGCTCATAATTGAGCTCAAGCCAAACCAAGTTCGAATATATCAACTTTTGAGTGAAATTAAATTTGAGTTCAAACTTGAGCCTCATGTTTTTTTTTTTGATAAATTGAATTTAAATAATCAAATAATTGGTTCAGCTCAGCTCGAATACAACCCTAATCTCCACATAGACTATTAAATTTCTTCCTGTTGGTGTATGTGTGTGTGGGGGGGGGGGGGGTGAATTTACAGCGACGGAGCTAGGGGGACCCGAGGCATGCCCCAAAATCTCTCTCTCTCATGTGTTATAGGGTTGCTACAATATGCATTAAATAATTATATATAAAAATAATTAAACATGGACCCCACCAATCATAAATTCATAAGGCTCAGTTTGAAAAGAGTACAAATGCAAATATCTACTACATAAATACATACAAAATATAAGGTTTTACACTCTACATATTTGCATTTGTACTCCTTCCAAACTCAGCCTAATATGCCAATCCAATGGACCTACACTTCAAAAATTGCATATTTGTCATCGTACTAGCATCCCTTCATTGCCGTTGGGTAGTTCATGGGAATATGGCATCTCCGAAGGGTATATGATCTGTAAAACAAATGTTCATTTAATTCTTGAGACCTAGGTGCACTTAGATGGTATTTGATACTTTGGTGGTTCAGTCTGAATCGTTTCAGCTTGAATTGCAGTGTTTTAAGTACATTGGAAACAGAGAACGAGCTGTTTTGACATGAAGCATGGAGTACAATCTAAACACTGTATAGTCTAAATACATGTCGTTATTTATTTTCAAAGATAGTTGTTTTGACATGTTACATCTCCACTCCCCTATTAAATCCCTCCTTTTCTCTTAAATATCTCTTTAATCCTTTTAGTTTTTGATCTTTAGATCATCAGAAACAAAGATGAACCAATAAATGTTTTGAGCATTTGGTAACAGTTACTTTTAAAAATATAACAACGTGAAGCTAAAACACTTTTAAACCCTTACAAAGCGTGGTTTTGTGACAAATCCTTAAGAAGAACCAATTTGTGTTCAAACCAAATGGTTTTGATTTGTTTTCAGAAATCACAATAAGAAAAGCAATTCACAGTGGAGAATGCCCCTATAGCTAAATAAATTACTTATGGGAAAGTGTTTCAACCTAAAACAGGAACGGTACCAAGCAAGCTCTTATTTATAATGATACTTTTTGTCAAAGAATATTTCTAACTACTAAAGATTTTCCTGATTCAAGCACCTTTTACATTACTAGTAAAAGGTACTCTACACACTCTCCAATCTATCTTTTCTAAAATTTTTGGGAAGCCAAGTAACTCACTAACTCAGATTAGCTAAACACAACTGTGGAACCAATGGTAATACCTCATGCCAGTCATAAAATACATGGGGCCCCATAGCGAGAGGTTGAATGATTGTAGGCCCTATGTATTTTATGAATGGTGTAGGGCATTATCATTGGTTCCACATGCAACTTGCTAAATAGTTATTGCCTTTAGCTAATCCTATCTTGATATTAAAGTTTAAGGGTTGAAGTAGTAAAAAATAATTAATTGCTCATAGTTTAATTGTTGAAAGGGTTAGCATTCATTATATGGATGGCCAAACTATGTTAGATGATTGAGCGAATTTTCAAAAATTTTCTAATCCTTTTGAAAATCGAATTCTCTATATTTTGAAAAATTGCACTTTTCAGAATAGGTCTTGCACTGAACCGGACTAGACTTGAAACCAAACAAAAAGGGAGATTTATACCTGATCCGGATATCACAAACGCAGATCCTAAGGTGGAAGTTTACACCCAAATCAGTCATAAAACCAGCCTCCATTGAACATGGTGCAGTGTATAGGTGAAGTTGATTCAGCAACACAGTTTTCAGGCTCACCTTCCCCAACATACCCAGGTTTTGACCCTTGATGGATCTCATTGATTGGTATGTCAAAGATAAGACAATTCAACACCTAATGCAGTATTATAATCAAGTCTAGGGGTTAAGTGTAACTTTCCAATTTTGCCCGTCAATCTCTAAGGTCCAAGGCATAACTGGAAAATTGTTCAAGTTCAATGTTTCATCCAGACACACTACATGTGCTTCGGGTCTAACCCTAACAGCTGAGGCAAACTGCCCCAACTTCTTTGGTAGCACATCAGTGCCAGCCTTGGTGGTATAAACTTCCCAAGTCTATTCAATGGCTAAGAACATTTCAAACTAACATGAGTCTCATAAGTGTTTAGTTTAAAGGGTAATTACATAAAAACATACCAATATCAACATGAAACAATAATATACTTTTGTTCATTTACAATAAATATATTTGCACATCAATTTAATTGGAGTTAAGGGCATACGCTATCTAACATTAATAGTAGATATAGCACTAGCTAGAACAAAATGGAAAAATAGGATTTATGTAGCTTATCCCATATAGTTGGGCTGAAGCTTTGGTGATGATGACGATGCGAATGACCTATGGACCAAGCTTTTCATGTCTAGTTCCCATTGAGGATAATGAAATAAAATCCAAAAAATATATATATAAGAAGATGTCAAATTTCAACATATAGTTCTAATTTGAGATAGAACGGTACATATTCCTCAAATTCTATACAATTGATTTAAAAAATAAGGTAAAATACAAAAGACTCTCCTAAAATTTTTGACAATCATAAAAACCTCCCCTATAGTTTCACTTTAACAAAAATCTCCTTTGGACTTTTAAAGAATTCGACAAAAACCTCCATTCCGTTATTGATCCAGACAAAAAACATTAAACTGATGCATAATTTTTTTAAATATCTATTTTACCCTTTTATAAAATAACTCGTGTTCAAGGTGTCCAAATGCAAAATTTTGCCATGTTAACCACCATGAGCCACGTGTGAATTTCGCCACTTAAGCATCCAACTCTGTTAAGATTTCAGAAGCAACTTTATTCTCTAATTCTTGGAAATCTCTTGCTTTTACGAAAACTTGGAAAGCATTTTTGCTATCCTTGTCACAAAAACCTCTCCTGTAGTTACGAAATCTATCTAATGTTTTCATTCAGGGAGATGGGCTCTAATCAATTCAAAAGTTTCACTATTCATCTTCTTTGTTGAGAGAGCGATGGCGAGTACATTTTCCAACACAAAGTAACAACGACGACCCCCTCCAACTCTCTCTTATCCTCTCTCCTTCTCCCTCTTTCCCTCTACTATTTTTTCTCTTTCTTCTTCTTCGTTCCACTCCCCACCACTGTCACCGCCCCTGTTTCTTCCCCCCAATCACTGCCACTTCAATTCTTAGCAGCGGCGATTTGCCATCTCTCCCTCCGAGTCTATCTTCTTCTTCATTCCGGTCTCTCTCTCTCT